TCTGGAGACTAACTCATAGATACTGCCTTCAGTAATAAGTCATCTGTATTCACAAAACCTTGAGCAGCTTTATGACCTGTCTCACCTATATATATATATATAAAGAAGGTTGCAAAGACCATAAATTATACAGTACATGAAAAGCTCTGACAGACACGTGAAGGATTTTTTAATCTGAAAGTGTTTATCATTTGCTGTTATTTGTAAATGTTTTGATTTTTAGATATTTAAATTTGTTAATGTAAAGTTTTAGCAGAATTTTTGACAGCTCGTCAACAGCATCATCAACAATTCTCGGACAGCTCTTATCAAATAGAGTTTTGACTGTCACTTATATAATGCATCCACAGCTCAAAGTGCAGAGCAAACAATTTTTTTTTTTTTCTGTGGCAATGGAACATGAACCATGTACATTGAGATCCACAGTCCACCACACTAGCCATGCTAGGTCCAATATACTTGAGGGGACAGGCATTCTTTATAGGAAAGTAAGCTATGTAGAAATTTGTAAGATTTTAAAGCTATTGGGAACAAAAATTTTTTTCTGGCAAAATTTTTTTTATGAACAGCATTAAACAAAAATAGTTAGGCAATTATTTTCTCAAGCAAACTTGAATTCTAATATTTTTACATGAATCAAGAAACCTTTTAAATAATGAAATAATCTCTTTAAATACAAATTTGTTTGTAAATAAAGCTTACAGTACATGTCAAAACCAAGGATTAAATGAAGCATATTCTAAGCCAAACATGCTATTATGCATATACATATTATGCCTATTCATAGGCAGCGAGTTATATGGGCCCATGGTGCTTGTGCTCCACCAATAATTAGGAATGTCTACTTGTGCTCATCTCCAATAATGTTTGGACTTATAATTTGCATATCTTTTTCAAATGATAATGGCAAAATAACTTAAGTGGGAGAAATCATAACAATGTATTATTTTTCATCGATTTAACTTAGAAATGAAAACTATGCTATTAATTTTTTTTAGATGGGAGAGCCCTGTAACCAATCTGTATATCCCACGAATAGCTACTACGCACAAAATCAGTGTGCATGAAGCATGCTTTTGCTGTTTCTTGGGTTGTCATTTGAAAGGCTTGCTGTGCTGTCCATCTGAGTGCCTCAAGAAAAAGTCACACAAACCCCAATTTGGAAAGCAGTTTCAAAGAAGTGGTCTTGATATGCGATTTTAACACTTCTGGCAACATTGGATTAAAGATTCTAATCTTTAAAGATATACTATCCACTCTTTCTATTCGTTATAAATAATCCGAGTGCAAAGGTCGGAGAGAAATATTGACATTTGTTGAAAATGTGTTTGGGATAGGAAAGCATTGCTATTGGGTTGGATTTTCTGGTTTATATCTAAATGAAATAGTAAGATTAAATAATATAAAAATTACATCACGTCCAACTAAGTCTATACTAGAACATATAAAAACATACATATGACACACTAGGATGAATATGGCACAATTTGTTCTAAACATTTCCTTTTGAATTAAGAAAGTAAAACTTATATAATATTAAAATTTGAATTATACACTACTAGCAGATGTCCATTGAAACAATTCAACAGTAATTTTCCTAAAAATAGTGAAGAATAAATATAAAATGTGCAGTTAACCAAATCCCTTGAATCAGAGTGTATACGCAATATGATTTTTCTAGTGGGCTATTTACAACCTTATTTTATCATTTTATGTGTCAACAAGAAAAACTGCATTGCATTTTTGATGCAATAAGTGCATCCAGTACACTAAGCACTCAGGTTTGGTAAGTAGCCATGGGGATTTTTTCCCACTGGATGGCATCATTTCATCACTTTACTGAGAAAGAGAGAGAGAGAGAAAAAAAATGGCCTGTTATTGAATTGAGTGCTATTTGATTTTTGTAATTTCTACAGGAAGTGTCAAAAATGGGATATTTATGTCAATTCAAATAAATGTATTTCATATAAGTGATACTTGAAACCATCAGTACTTGGGGAAACTTGATGATGCCTTTACTGGCAAAACTATGGTCATGAATAAATGATGTATTTGTCAAACTTATAATTGTCTTATTTTTCCTCAATTCTGAAATTTATTTGACATGGTACAATAGAATTATGCATGTATATAATACCAATACACACACAAAAAAAGGCAATATTAGTGATCTGGAAGAATATGCAAAAGATTAAGACTACAAAACATTAGACCACTATGATGGCTGAGACTACAGATATGTCTAAAAAGGGATGAGTAAAGTTTTCTTTATGGATGAAGACTGGGAACTCACAGAGTAAGTTGGTTTTTTAACAGACTGATGTAACCAATGCTGCTTTTATTTTTAAAATTTTGGAAACATATTGATCAGGTTTGAACTGCTCTTTACCTGATTATCATTGAAAGTGTTATGAAGAAACACTAATGTATCTGGTAATTTCACTGGGTTACAAGCCCAAACGTAAGAATGAGAACCAAGAGCAGGATTTGTTCACTGTGCTGTCCATTTCCTTAATCTTGCCACTCAGGATGCCCCCACAAAGTATTCCAGTATGTCATGATTGCTTTTCAATGATATAGGATCTCATTAGTGTTACCCAGGGAAAAGCGTATGTGTGTTTGACAAGATGGATACTGAAGATCATCAGCAACAGATCATTGCTTTGCAACTGCAAGCCATGTTGAGCTGTCTAGATGAATTTAGTAACACTTCTGATGAATCTGGCTCAAAATACAGTGGGTTCTCAAAGCAACTTCAGTTAATATTTCTTGTAAAAGCCAAGGATCCTTTAGAAAAAGCAACTGCAAAAATTCAGAGTCCAAATATATCGTTGTCCAGCATTCTAAAGAAAGTTGTCTTGTTGCAAGAGGTATTGAATGCCATGCATGCCGACTCATCATATAACCACCTATGGGATACAACAGTAGAAAAGGCAGAAAGTTTGTGTTTAGAAGAACTTAAATTCCTACAAAGCACAAGAATCATGACAGCTCAAGAATGAAAACTTTCCTCACACCTACAGTTTCCACAAGGCCTATTTTCTTTACAACTGATGCTTGCAAAGTTATAATAGGGAAGAGGTTTTCATTAGATAGCTTCACATTTGCAATAAAACTGGAAAAGCATTTAACTGATGCAGCAAGTGAATCAAAACTGGATATCTCTTCCATCACTGAGGATTTTCAAGGTAATATTGATATAGAGATGCTGTAGCTTCCCCTAGAAATACTGGGTGATATTTGCAGAACAAGGAACTCCCACCTTAAATTGTTAAGTGAAGTGAAACAGTTTCTAAAAAAAACAAAAAGGTCTGAAGGACATCTAGTTCAAAGTTATGATTCTGTTGAAATTATTCTACATAATACGAAGAACAACATACACTTCTGAGCAATTATTTAGTTATGTATGAAGACTAAAAAAACAAACAAACTTGTGAACCACATTGAGCAAAGGAAGGTTCAAACAGTTCACAGTTCTGAATGTTCAAAAGACCCTAACTGCTAAAATACATTGAAAGATTGCTGGATAACTTGATTTCAAGAACCGATCGTAGCTGGAAAGTGTTTGCAGTGCCAACTGTTATTAGTAGTGCTGATTTATGGGTTTTCATTTTATTTTGGTAAGATGGTTTATTTTGGTGTATACATCAGCTGTATAACTAACTAAATGGAACACATGATGACAATGAATGCTACAAGTCTTATATTAGCTAGTAACAAACTAAATGGAACACATGATGACAATGAATGCTACATGTCTTTATTAGCTAGTAACCAACTAAATGGAACACAAATAAAAATAATGATTATCACTGACTTTTATAAAATTATTTATAAAATGCATTTAAAAATAAATTCTTATATAAAAAAGTTAAAGTGTATTTTTTATTGCACCTTTTCTTTTGCAAAGTGAAAAAAATACTTTACTAATGACATCTTGTACAATACCTATAAACATATTTTATCAAAAAATGCCAAAATTCTGAAATATGACAATACCTATACATTCTAATATTCTTATGGTTTTCTTATCACGTTTATGCATAAAAATGGTAATATTTATTACACTTAATTATAATTAACTTAACTATATTTGAAGATCCTAAGTTATGTCAATGATTCAGTAATTAATAGTCGGATTAGGAATGAAGGTACTGTAAATGAAATTTTCTTGTCTGAAATTGTAAATATGTACAAAATTAATATGAAAGTAATTAAATCTCATGAATTTATGTTAAGAAATGTTAACAATTTTGGTGTTTCATGAAATAAAATCCCTTCCTTAAATCAACTGTATTAGTGACTTTCAGTCAGGAAGCATCATCTACCTACTTGCCATAAATACGTACCCAAAAGTAATGGGGGAAGAGAAACCATATACTTTATGTAAATGTTTCATTTTTGTACAAATATTACAATAAATATTATATCCTATGTATATGCCTACAAGGAAATATAAGAATATAATAAAAACTGAGAAACACAACTACACATTTTATTGCCTGCAAAAACTTAAATGCAGTATCAACATCAAAACTAATCAAATCAATTTCAGTATTCTTTTTTATGGATATGCCTCAATCGTTTAATAAATACTCATTTAGTTCAACAATGTAGTTTATTCTATTTCATTATATGATTGTTTTCTCTAGATATATTTTAAAATGATGTCTTATGGAAAAGAAAAAGTTATACAGTTAAAATATCTAAATATAATGAACAATTATATTGTAAAATGTTTTCTGTTTCCTTTTATGTATTGGTATATAAATGTAAGCTTAATTTTTCCAAGCATTAGACAACATTTGGAAACTTGACTGAAATAATACCAAAATTAGTCTTATTATGAAAACATGTTCTGTTAAATTTTTTTATTAAAATCAATTTAACAGAAGGATAAAGCTAAAGTTAATACAGAGATACGAGTTTTTATTACAATTCTTGGAATCCTCTATGAAGCTATTTTGTTATTTTTCTCAAAAAAGAAACAACAATCTTACCTCATGACTTAAACACTTATCCACCAGTACAAGAAATTGGTTAACTTTATCTTCTTCCATATCTACAGACACCAACAAGTGAGTACACACTGAAATCAAAATATTACATAACTTGAGTCTTATACAAAGATGAATAAAAAACAAATGTTTAGATGACTGACTTAATGTATCACCTACTAACACTCTTACATAATCCATAAAATAATCTCCTGTAGCACATAGATTACTGGCCCTCTTAACTTTTCTTTATAACTTTGTGGATGGCTAATCCATGTAATTGTTCCTTATAAATTGTAGTACACAGTGAAGTAATTCAAGGGTTATGTCCTTAGAGTACAACAGTTTGTTGTACAAAGGTTTATATATGCAAATAAAATATTAACTTGTTTTTAAACTGTTCAGTAACATACAACCTGGTTTAAAAGCATTTCCAATTCTCTAGAACATGTCAGCATTAAAGCAAATACACATTATTTACTCGTATATTATTAAATTTAATATTCACAAATACATGAGAGTCAACAGGTCTTTCATATATTATAAAAAAACAAAACTGATGCACTGTTTTGGCACTTCATCAAAGTGTACTCCACAGTATATGAATAAAAAAACTTCTGCATATCTATAAACAACTTATGGGAACATAAAATTGTTGATCCTAATGATTATGTAGATATGGGATAATTGTTTGAGTATCTTCAAATTCAGCCATTCCTGAATTTTCTTTAGCTGTTCTTTCTTTTCCCTTGCATTCTGTTTAAATACATTTGATTAAAAACAAGTGTGAGATTTTCAGTATTTTCCGTCTTCTCAGAGAATGGATTGTTGATTTTGTGTTTTGATCAACCTTACTTTCTTCTTTTTCATTTTTTCCACTGCCACTATTGCATGTTTCTTTTCTTTCTTCTTTTTATTTCTTAAGTTCATATGTCTCATATGGTTTATTTTCTGGTTTGGATATTTCCTGGTATTTTACTTTAGCTACATATTTCATCACATTCTTCCAAATTAACAGAACTCATTCATGGACTGGAACATTTCCCAATCACTCGTGGCTGACAAGATAGATACAGATTGGAACATTCATGTAATCTCAATGAGCAGGATAATACTTAACCAAGAGTACAAACATGACAGGGAGATTTTCCATTCAGTTGCAATGGCACCAGCTTTAAAACCATATATATAAATATATATAGGCCACAAGACTAAGTTAGTGATGAAAGAATCATAGTTCTTCCATTATCATGTTGTAGAATTACCAATTAATATTGGGGCTATTCTTAGAAATCTGAACCAACTTCTTCATATTCAGCCCAGTTTCAAAGTAACATATCTGGAAGTGCTCTACAAAGTTATCTACTGTTGAATGACCTATCAAATAACAACAATAAAAAATCAAGACTTGCCATAGGATAAAATCTAATGATCAAAATGTGGTGTTCTGTTCTATAGAAAAAAAGTAATTATTTTTAGTATATTATTATAAAAGAATAAAAGTAATCATTATACAATTTCACAAGGAAAAGATAAAACTTAAAATATTTAAAACTGTATCACATAAATGAAAAACAAAACACTAACAAACTCTACATACCTAGAAACAATGATGTAACAAATTACTACCGTGTTTCCTCCAAAATATGATGTGGATGTCAATCTGTTTCTATTTATTCAGGCTCTCATCAAACAGTATTTGAAAACTTCTCTTAACTCTGAAAATTTTCAGAGTTCCATACAATACTTTTCAGTCCAAAGATATACATTTAGCTAGTCCATCCTTTTTTTTCTCCTTACATCCAAACTAGGTGGCCAATCTACTGTAATGGAACATAGCTTGGAACAATTTTGCAATGCTTCATTTGAATGATAAGAACTAGACTGGTAATTGTCTAAAGTGCCCACACTATCTCTGCCTTTAACACATCATTCTTGGCAACAAAATCACTCACAAGTGCTTGAGTTACTGGTTACTTAAAACTTCCTCTTTAATTACAGTGGACTTTATCACCACTGGTAAATTCTGATTGTCACAAACTGCATTTCATTCAAAAAATATAAGCAATTCCAAACAGGAAGCCATATTTCAAAAATGCCTTGTGTTTATTACTTAACATAAAATTTCAAAAAGCTTTCTCCCATTGTCTATAAATCCAGGATTTTGTCGCACACCATACAAAGTGATTTATGTTCATCAGCCTTGAACTCCTTGAACCATGTATATTCAGACTCTGATGATCATAAGCAGTGAAAAATACTTGTGCCAATATCTAAATGGATCTTGTTCCACACTATTTACTCAAAAACAAAATAATATGGAAACATTTAGAAATCTGTTTCAGTGCCAATAGGAAACAGCATTTAATGATGCTTATATTTTTGAGAGATTGGTATTTCAAACAGGTCCTGACATTTCTATTATCTAGGGGTATTTATTTCAGCTATACAATCACAGCTAACAAGTGTTTCAGGCCACTTTGTGTATTCTGCAGTTTGGCTATGAAGAAACTTTTGTCAAACTACCAATATCAGGTTAAAAGTCTTATTACTTTAGCTATGCTGAAATAGGTTGAAATGTTGTCTTGTCTCTGTTTACTAGATAGTTTATCCACTTCAAAAACTTTCAACTAATAATACTTAGCCTAAAATATAATAGATCAGCACATTTGAATATTAAAACTTATATAACTTCTAATTTGTTTATTATAATAAAACATACTAGTGACCTACAAGTTAGTCCTAATAATAGTTTAATACTACGAAGATCTGACTAAATAGTTTGTTAGTATGTAATTAAGTTTAATGGGTTTTGGCTCTGAGCTACTGAGTTATTACAATCATTAGGTCACATTTTGATTTTGAAACAGTATCTAAGTTTATTGGCTTAAGGTGGAGTTTAGTAAGTTTCTGAAATACTGACTACATGGCTTATTGATATTACTCCAGTTTTGATTGTAAAAATACACATTAATCTGTGTATTGACTTGAAGTGAGTTATGGTTCTGAATCACCTTATGTATATTTGATACAGATATTTTTAAAGTACTTAAAATTTTATGAGCAGACTAATTAAACAGCCCAATAGTTAGAGATCTCCAACTATTTGTAATAAAAATAATGTACTTCAGACTAAAATTTTTTTACCTTTCCCCATCAAGCGGGTGAACTGCCCTGGTAAGTCTCCTGCCATAATACTTGAATCCCCCTCGAGACTCAGAAGACCAGGGCTTTGTGGGGGACTAGGTGTCAATGAACCCTCAGGGTCCTGATCCTCCAAACTGTCACTACCTTGGGAAGAATTTGACTGTAATCCTTCAGGTGGACAAAATGCCTTAATGGGAGTCTGTAGCAGTGACTTCAGTTCTGTCAAGATATTTCTTATACTGGCTCCCTCCTGAAGATCCTGTGAGAAATTTACAAACATACAGTGTTTTTAAGATATATTATACATTACAGCAGATTGAATAAAAACTCAATAATTTATTTGGGATAATTAATAAAAAAAACCTGTAGATGTTGCTCAAAAAACAACAAAGCTATTAGGTCTGAAGTACAGTCATTGAGGAAGCTGTTGATAGAACAGATAGAAGCTGTTGGCTGTTTATTTGTTTGTTTGAATTCCACTCAAAGCTACTTGAGGGCTATCAGTACAATCCATCCCTAATTTTGAAGTGATAGACTAGAGGAAAGGCAATTAGTCAACACCACCCACTGTAAACTCTTGTGCTACTTTTCAGCCACAAATAATGGGGTTGATCAAGTTACACATCAGGCCCCTTTTGGCTGTAAAACAACATATGACTGATACATTTTTGTGGACACACTAGCAATCATAATAATAGAAATGTTCCTTAACCGAATATTGTAAAACCTCAGCCTTTAAATCTTGGATTAATCTAATGGTTTACCTGAAGGTATTACCCAATAAAAACTATACCACAGAAAAAATTAAAATATGTATTATTATCATACAAATCTTCAGTGAAGTTCTGTGCTTACTTTGTTGACAACAAACAAGCAATAAAGTTCAACTGTTTGTTTTAGTACAAAGCTTCACAATGGGCTATCTGTGATTGTCCATTGAGTGGATTGAACCCATGAGGAATAAAGTCAAAATTTGGATACCTTCTTCAATAATCTTCAACTGATGAAAACACACTAAATTTGTACTGGCTGAGAAAGTTCATCATGGCAATCTTCAAGGTAAAAAAGTTGTTTTTTTATATTATGGATAATTTATACTTAAAAGAAGAAAAAAAACGATAAATAAATGCTATTTTATGATACTTATGAGGACAAAATATAATAAAAGTAATGTTTTCACATTAGAAAGGCAACAAGCAACAACAATTACTTTAAATAGGTATTAATATACTCAGACAACGAGACAGGATGTTAAAGTTTTTTTTGATGATCATGTTACTTTTCATAGACAATATACTTCAGTTTCTTACTGAATAGAAACACAACACCTGGATGTCAGTAATTTTCACCAGTAAAGAGAAACAGACAGCAGCTATACACAGATCAACTTATCATTGTCTGTTAAGGACAAAACAACATTGTTAAAAGCATAGTTTGCAAAATAAAATAATTTTATTAAAAATGTACAGATATAATGCAGAGAAACAACAACATAAAATTGTTTACAATAAAAAATAAATTTACTTTATAGAAATATTTTTTCAAACAAATTTTTAATTACATGTATCAAGATGTAAGAAAACTTGCAAACTAGGATATGACACAAAAAAGTTAATTCAAAATACATACAGGATGACCACATTGTTACAAGGTTTCCCCATGACATTTCAGGCAAAATTTCACTTTTTTTCAAGACCTGCAGATGTATGATCAACACTGGTTACAGAAGAAAAAAAAGACTTTCACACGTGGACATTGGAACTTCATGGTAACCAATAAAATGTTGCATTTTTATTTACAAAATAATAATGTTTCTTTGTTTGATCATTTTTAGATTTTCATGCTAAGCTATTCAAAGCTATCTATGGTAGCTGTCCCAAATTTTGAACTGATAGATTAAAGATAGCCAACTGCTAACTCATGAGCTTTTCTTGTCTGACTGAATAGAGGGATTTGACATTTACCTTTCTAATATGACCATGGCCAAAAAGTTCAGGGAGTGATGATGTTATTCTTAGCAGTAACAGGACATGAGTGATGGACTCACAGATCCATAGTCCAACACACTAACTACTTGGCCACACTCATCCATCAAATATAATGAATTAAATAATTATCATCAGACTGATAGATCAAGATTATGTCAAACAAGGTTTGTATCCAGATAAAAGTAAAAATATTTTTTCATGTTTTAGGACATTTTTTCAATTTTTCCTTACTTTTCCAAGCTTGTAGTCATCCTGTGAAACATAGTTCAAGATGCATTTCAAAACATTTTATAGTTTCTTACATATGTACATCATTATTTTACCCAATTAACCCTCTTGCCCCAGGTATCCTTTACTGTGCATGACACAAGGATTTAGTGTCTAACATTCAAACTTTTATTAAACTACTTTTTGTTCATATTAGTACCAATTAGTATAGCATAAAATCTTAGCTAATAATTCATATTTTAATTGTATAAAAGTTTTAAATTCTTAATTTTATAAGGCAGTATTTTAAAAAATCCTGAATTTCCCCTAGTGTGACACATTTTTTCTAGGTATCTTCTCAACTTTAACTATATGTTAAAGGCTTATAATGTTTACTAAAAGACTGCCAAGTTTGTGAAGATATACATATATCAAAAGTTAATAGTATCAAATCTATAAAGATTTTATATGAGCACAAAATGGTCACATGGTCGGTCATATTGGCCAAGCCTGTATGGAGAGAGTTAAGTTACTCAAAATAACATTTAGATACATTTCAAAATCTTAAAGTAATATATGAAATACATTATTCTTGTATTTTTAAATGAATACTAACTATAGAACTTTAAACAATAACACTAATATGTTTAATCAGTTATCCGATACATTTAAGAGTGAGGTAATGTGAATTATATAAGAATTACCACCAGTCTTATTCTTACTTGTCTTACCCTGAAATAGATCATGCTTTGCTAGCTTGAGGGTTACATACCATAAATCTTTACGTCTTATAATCAACTTATATAAATAGCATTTCTAGAATCAGCAATACATAAACCTTGAAGTCTCATAACCAACTAATATAAATAGCATTTCAACAGTTAGTGCTGGCCTGATGATCGAAGAATCTAATACTATAAAATGCAGTGTGTATCTGTCTATCAGTCAAACACTGATGTCATAGCAACTTATTATGTAACTTAATTAGTTTGGCTTCCTGTCAATTAGAAGCAAGTGGTCAATGATTGATTGAAAATTAAAGATATATTTGGACTAATATGTACAAACAATTGCACCTGTTTCGCAAATTGAAAATGCACCTTTGTTAAATTGTAGAGTTACACCAGAAAATGTTTTACAATCTCAAAAAATGACCTTCCCTGGAATATAAAGATGTCAATGACTAAACATGGGCTCTGACTGCCCTTGAGATTTGTTCACGGTCATGACAAAAGTTGGTATCAGTGGGAACTGCCACCTCTTATCCATATTTAATCAGTGAGTGACCGATTAGGCAAGTGGGTGTCAAATGTAAATTGTGTCGTAAGTTTGACTTCGTCGAGCTTTCAGCAAAACTTCAAATCAAGAACACTTGAAGTTGCTCATTGATAATCACAAAAAACAGAGAACAATCATTGAAACCTGAGTATTCACAAGAAATGTTGTACTTAAGGAGCTTCTTGAATAAAAATTACTTTTTGTCCATGATTTATCAATCATTCATGATCTAATTAGGCATTTCCGTCTTCGGTCATTTTTGACGGATATTATACTAGACAACAACATAAAACAGTTATTAAACCTTCAGTTTTACTAAAACCTCATATATGGCCACTAAAGCTGATTTTCAAATCATTATTACTACTTCTGAGATACCTGATCAACTTTTCTTACAATCTCGCTCTAGTGCCATGAATTTAGAAAGGCAAAATAATGACAAGAATTTATGGTTCTTACCTTCTCTAATAACCTTAAAGTGTTTTGCCGTTCTTTCAATTTTTGAATGCTGAGCACAATCTTGTGACGAGCTCCTTTTGTCACATTCTACAGAAGCACACAAGGAAATATGTAAATTACAATAAATTAATTAGATCACAAAACATGGGCTTCTATTTATCAATATTCAACAAACAAATCAAGAGTGATACACAATTCTTTTTGAACATGTCACTATTCCACTAAATACAGCAAGATATGAAAACAATATTTTAATTCTTCACACATTCTGTAACTTTTGTAACAGCCAATATATAATTCTGATGTAACCAATAGTAGTATTTTTCATACACACTCAACCAAGACATACATTTGTTAGAATACCACTTTTTTGTAAGCAAAAGTTAATGTTATTCTCTTAGTTGTCAATTTGCATAGTTAGTTTTTTCTACACTTTTGTATATAAATATTCTCTCTCTTTAGAGAATATAATAACCATGCGTTCCCTTTCTTGTATGTATAAACTCTCTGAAGTTCCATTCAGAACAACATTCATCTGTTGAGCACAATTCTTAGAACACTACTAATGTTGACCAGAAATAATTTTAGTTTACTTACACTTGGTGAAAATTGTTCATTTTGATTAGTGCCCTTGCATATGCTAAGTGTTAGTCAAATAAGAACTCTACTTGTTGTACTATTCTCTGCAACCATTAAAATAATTTTTAACTAATGAATTTTGAATTTTCTGGATGAAATTGATAAATTGAACTCAGAAAAAATTCTTTTTTTTTTGAATTGATATAAGCCTAAGAACTAAGCCTCAATGACTTTTGTGTACGTACTCTATGTGGTTCAAAACTACTGCATTTTTTCAATTATGTTGCTGAAATAAAAACTAAAATGATCAGAAACTTTTATTTCTGTTTCATTTTAACTTGTCTAACCTGTCATAGTGAATAAAATCTCACCTGCTCTTCCAACTGTTTCTCTGTTAGTTCCATCATCTCATCATATGTCATGTTAGAAAAAAGGTAGGCATACTTGTGGAGTCTCAAGCCCTTCAGCCACATTGTCACATCTGTCAGTTTTACTATATATGTTAGTGTACAGAATTTCTTTCTCAGGCAAAAACATAATAAATGACATAGCATAAACATTCATTGTAGTTCAGAAAGAAAATATTAAATTTCAGGAAACTTTATTAAAAGAAATGGATAAGTGTCAAAACAAATAAAAAGTACTGAAAAAACTTAGCAGATCAACACCACCATAAACAGACTACAGCACCATCTATTCACAAATGCCAGAAAATCACAGGCATGGGTATTTCTAATTTGAACTTGAAGATCAAAGAAAAATTACATATATGTATGTATATACATGTATAAAAAGTTAAATTTTAAAGAGCAATACATGACACTTAAACTCCTCTTGGTACCAATGTAAACATATCCTATGCACTGACAATAATTTCACGAGAAGGGAAACAAAATTTAATAATAAAAATGAAGATGGTTGACAAGACAAAACCTTTTTTACTTATAGAAACTTTGAATGTTTTGGAATACATTTATTCCATCTTAAGCAAAATGTGGAAATAATATTAAAATCATATTTACTAACTAATGATAGAGTAACTTCAACAACTAATTTACTTAAAATATATAAAAAAAGAAGGAAGTAAAGATTATAGAACACATTATGGAAATAGCACAAATTAAAAGTTGCAAGACACGTCAAGTTATAGCTATTCTTAACAAATGTCTGAGTTAAGTTAGTTACAACAGTTTTGGGTCTAAGCATACTTGTAAGTCATTAAGAGCTAGATGGTCTTTCACTATAAGTAAGGTTTTTTTAGATGCAGAGTTCAAAGTCTGAACAACTTACAGTAATGATGGAGAAATCATATGAAATGTTATGACCTGTGGTTTCTCATTGTAAACAAATAGCCGAGTGGCTGGGTTTAAGTAATGAATGGCCAGTCCTGTTTGATACTCCTAAATGTTCACAGACTTTAGTTTTTTAAGTGGTGATTCGTTTTACCAATGTATATAACCTTAAAGTCACTACATGCATACTTACACATGAGCCAAAGTGTTGGCATTTGATCTTTATATTGAAAGAAACATTTAATGTGGAAAGCTAGGTATATATATATATATATATATATATATATACACACACACACACACACATACACAACACACACA